GTTTCATCAGCAAATCAATGCTGAACTGTAGACGGGTTCTTTTTGTCCGGACACTTGGCTCCGTAAAATTAATAGGGGGGGGGGGGTGCTCGTACCATACTTTTAATGGGAGCGCTGTTCAAATCCAACGATTATAAACACTATATTACAGGATAGCGTATACAAATACCCCCGTACTCCAGCAGGCTTTGTCCGTATTTTCTGCACAGGCGTAAGTTAATACCAGTATAATTGTTTTGGGGTGTCAGAGCAGGGTGGGGGGGGGGGGGTAACATTATTCTTTATCAATTTCTATGGATTTCTATGGGTTTGAACCCCCCCCCCCCCCCGATCGGCGGCAGATAGTTGATATAACATCCTGTGTAACTCGAAGTACACGGGATGGCGCAGATGTACTGAACTACCACAATGACACAGTGCAGTGCTAAATATCTGAATTGTAAAGGAAGTTTAAAAGGTCCGCATTTCCTGAATAGGTCTCCTTAGGTTATGACCAACTACCGCATACAGTTCATCCGGAATTAGTTTGATAAATCCCATCAGACTGTTCTATTCCGTGATTGTCTTACGACAATGATTTACCAGCTAATCTGTTAAGAATAAAAACATGATAGTTGCATTTAAATTTGAATCGTATATATCAATCAGCCCAATTTGATTCTCGTCAAGCAGTAGAGAAATGACCGATGGCACGACGCCAGAGGGCGCAACGTAACCGATCAACGGTAAAGCTATTTGAATGAGGTCAGGTTTAGGAGTAGACACTTGTTCGTTTTACCGTCTTCTATGCAAGGAGTCAATTAATTAAGCGTAGGTTTAACACCATACTAGTATCATTGGGGCTGCCCACTTAGGGAATTTTTGTCAAATATATTCCTAAAAATCTGTCCTAAATTTGCCGGGGGGGGGATCAATCTACATACTAGTTCAGGGCCAGAGATTGGAACTGAGGGGGTGCTTGAGGGGAGGGAAACATAGGTCGGAAATCCTTGGTAAGATTGAAAAGGAAACAGTTGAGGAGATCGTGATTCACATGTAATTTCTTCAGAAAAATAATTATTACTGATGATTATTACCTAGATCTCTTAACAGGCCGATTAAAAAAAGGCGTAAATCCCGTAGATAAAGTGGGAGATATTCCTCTCCCCCTTCCCCGACTTTTCTGACTGAGGGGATTATCCATGATATTATGTCCCACATTTTGTTGAACTTGAAAAACAAAATGCTCTCCTGTCAACACAGAGACCTATAAGTTATTGTGAAATAAAGTTAAATAAAACAGATGACCTAAGCCAAAGTTAGCGCGCATACGACCATTATAATATGCGTGAATGAAATATTAGGTGTTTTTTTTAACAAGCTGCGCCACCTAGTGTCAATAATGTACCTCCCTCCCCCCTCCCCGTCCGGGTGAAAAATGTGGATTTTTCAACGGTCAAATCCCCACAATTTAAAGGCCTTACTGTTCATTTGAATACAGTCTTATATTGTACTTCCGGTATCATTGTTATGAACTCTTAAAAGATTACATCATATATATCACGTTGTTGAGTTTCAGGAATTGTATTATTAGATTTGAGGCTTTGCATGGTGGGGTATCGGTATCGTTTCGGGTTTTGCGGTAACACCATGTGGTAATAACTACTGCTTAGAAGATATTAGTTCTGAGAAGAACTTGTCCTGCTTATTATCAACTTGCTAAGTAGTTTTTTGTTCTGTTTAGAACAGTCCTGCTGTAAGTTCTAAAAGAACTTGTCTTTGGTCTCAACGTTTCGACTAGCCTGCTCTAGTCATCGTCAGGAGACTGAAGAAAGTTGGAGATGCTACTCCTTAAGTAGGGTTTGTTAGGATTAGGAGTGCTTGCTGGGCATGCCCTGCTCGCTCGGGTGTGTCAGTTGGTTGTGAGCCATGGGCATTGTGTTGAGGGATGCCCGCTGAGCGTCCTGCTCGCTCGACTGTGTCAGTTGGCTGTGAGCCTTGGGCATTGTGTTGAGGGATGCCCGCTGAGCGTCCTGCTCGCTCAGGTGTGTCAGTTGGCTGTGAGCCACGGGTGTTGCAACTTGGAATAACTGAATGCCATATGTGGCTTATGAAGTAGCCGATATCTTGTGGGACAGTGTCATGTTTGTGGATCTCAATAGCTTCTCTGATACGACGGGTGTACCAGTGTTTCTCTGGGGCTATGATTTCCGCTTGTTCCCAATCAACAACATGATCCAGATCAGCAGAGTGTTTGACAATTGCCGATTTGTCAAGTTCCCCTCTGCGGCCGTGAGCTATGTGTTCTTTAAGCCTGGTAGTGAGGTCTCTGCCAGTCCCGCCAATGTACACTTTGCCACATGAGCATCCACAAACATGACACTGTCCCACAAAAAGCAAATTGTCCCCTTAAATTCCTTAACTTTTTCCTTATATTCTCAATTTATTATTTTTCCGAGCGTGAGCAGGGGACATTTGCCATACCCCCCTCCCCCAAACAAATTAACAGCAATATTGCTTCGCACCTCTTTTTCCTTTTTTTCTCTCGTTTTCCAGGAGGGGGGGGGGGAGGGGTGGGGGCAAGCGCCCCATTGTCCCCCTCCCCCCTCGCGACGCCCATGCTTGTGCTACCACTTGATCCTTTTTAGGCCCAACCAATAGTCCTACCCAACCTAAACCAGATCCAAGCTAAACCGTATTTACCCTCTAAAAACTCTATTGACAACCCTTACCCTAACTGCATTCCCATTTATCCTCAATCCACATCCGCTATCACTCCCACTAACCCCCTAACCAAATCTGCATCCGACCGTTAACTCCCACCCCAAATGTAATCATCATGACCTGCCAGAAGTTAGAATATCAAACCATAAAGCATTACAAGGCGAACGACAGACTTTTAATACATACATGACTTTTAATATCAAAGTGATTATAATTTTAATAATCATTGCAGATTTAAGAAGTTGTGAGAATGTTTTACACAAAAGTAAGATTGGGTTTTGCTCGTTCGTTGCTATGACACACGATATCAATAACTGTTTTCAGTTTAACGATCAAACATGTTTGAAGCATAAGTGAAGCCCAGCAGAAGGCGTAGGTAGTTTCCACATTATCAAAAGCTAATGTAAATGGTTATAAGGTTTTAAGTCGTCACTGTAAGCTTGTAACTACTTCGGGGTCAAAGGAGGACAACACACGAAACCTTATCTGAGAACTCAAGCATTTTAAGGAGCAGGATTTTGTTTGTAATATCCTGCCTTGGTCCCAACATAAGTTTACTGTCATCAAGTTTCAATAGTTGTAGTTTCTCACAAGACCGCCGAAGCGATTTTTTGTTTGTTTTTCCAACACGTGGCTGGTTGAACACTATTAACAAAATGTACAATCTAACACACTGCCATTTTTTTCAATTCCACAGTTTCGAACAAATATCTCAGCAAAACCTGACCGGAATTATATAATTGTTTTCATTATCTCAGTCAGGCCCAGGGTTACATTTTATGTTAATTATAACATCTCATCCTGCGCATTCATAATAAGCTAGTCCACTCAATGACATTTTTATAATTCAAAGGCGACCTCATATATGTGCTAGTTTTGGCTTAGCTAGTTTATTTAATTGATATAATAATGGGACAGGAAACGATAGTCATATAAGAAGTCACAATGCTAAAAAAAAACATGGTTCACACTTGGAGACGTTATGGTAAATCATCAATTCAAAATATGGTATCAAAATAAAAATCAATGAAGTCATTCCAGGTGGAATACTAAAACAAATATCCCATATCCGTAAAGAACCTTCCTCACTTGAATGGATTTATTGCTTCGTTCTTATTGATTTTGTTAAATCACAGGCATACACTTTCACTGATATTTTCGGAGTGAGTTTCTTGAATGGAATAACGTAATAATTATTCAAATAAGTTTGGGTCTTTTAATCGAGAAACACATTCCACGAATTGAGTGGGCTTTTTACTCGTTTAAAAAAAATACGTTTTTGCTCCATACATGAAGCTCCATACATCACAAATTGTGGTAAGTGTTTTTTTTGTTTTGTAATCATTTGGATGAGGTTTTGTACATTTTTTTGACAGTTTTTTTCATTAGTTACATAATTCTTACATAATATAATATGACAAAAATAATTCAATTATTTAATAAGAAACAGTGCATTCTACAGTCACCTGTCAACTGTAAAATTGTACATGCAAGTTTTACCGTTTCAACGAATTGCTATTTCATGACACTATTTCAAACAATTATTATTTCTAACCCCAGAATAAATCAATGAGCATATAATTTTCATTCACTTGGAGCCTTTTTTGTGACATGAACTAAAATTTGACACACACTTTGGATTAATTAAATATACATCATCTATGCTGGGCATATATGGCATATAATGTCTGGTATACTTACTTTGTATGCTCTAGGAAACCTATACAGGTATATGTTTAATTAATCTGTTTTATTGATAAATTACATAATAATAATTAATAACATACCAAAAAAACAGTCGCATTTTTTTTTCAGAATATTTATACTGTATTTCATTTGTTTTGTCAAATGAGGCAATCAATTTTGAGGTCGGCAGTTTGGCATAAAACAGACCCAGGTAGGTAGGTCGGGTTACCATATAAACAATCTGCTATTACTTCTTAACATTCTGGTTGCACTGCATTATGGCAAAAAAATGTTTTATTTTTGAAAAAAATAATGAAATGGAATGGCCTTGAAAAAAATATTTAACATTCTAGTGGATAACACAATATGGTGAAAAAACTTTAAAGCATACTGGTTAATATATCTAAATAATCACACATAAAGATAAATACAAATATTCACGCAAAGAAATGTAAATCTATTGTTGTTTTCAAATCTGCGCATGCGTAATGCAAAAAAAAAATAATAATAATAACAGATAGATCTGTGACATTGGCAATTATTTCTTTTAATACTTGGTTACAGCTTCGGCAAAAAGGGAAAGCGAGAAAATAAAAATACACAACATTTGTTTATTGGGGGTAAAGGAGGAAGCCACTGAATGAGGCATAGACACGGTTGGATGTACTATGCACCTTACCAAACATGGTGAGATACACCGTGTCTTCACGCTGCAGAACTAGCACCGCGCTCGCCGACACTTGCTCATACTGAGCTGAACTGAAGCTAAGGCCAGAGACAACTATTACACCGTTCTTCTTGAGATCAACATACAAATGGCTGGTGGAAGCATCTTTGAGCACAGAAAACATAAACACGTAGGTGCCCGACACAGTACAAGTGAAAGTGCCAGTCCCTAGATCGAAGCTGGTACCCGGCAGAAGCGTTTCGGTCTCCTGGAAGGCCAGACGGGTGTCGTGACTCGTAGAGGTATCCGAGGGGCGCGTCCTCTTCACGGTGAATGCTACCCGCTGGTTGGAGTTGTCTGGTGTCTCCCCTGGCTCACCCTTCTGACCTTTGACACCAGCCTGACCGGCTGCTCCAACAAGACCGGGTAGGCCCCTCGGACCTATCTTGCCGGGCAGACCAATACCTTCGTCACCATTAGACCTAGTGTTCCCAGGTGCTCCCCGCTCACCCATAGGGCCAATAGGGCCAATCTCACCCTTAAGACCTTGCTGACCTGCAACGCCCTTTGACCCCGGCTGACCGTACGGCCCCATCTGTCCCACCGGTCCAGGCAGACCTGGTATGCCGGGTATTGCAGCAGGTCCCTGGCAGCACTGCTGACACACCTGAGACGCAGGACCATCACCGTCCGAGGGAACCGGCCCAGTAACCGAAGCTCGGAGACTGACAGAGTTACCTAGAAGAAGGGCGATTGAGAGAACGCAGATCTTCATCTTTAAAGAAAAACAACAAAAGCGAAATAAATTAATATGGAAACAAATTGGGAAAGATGAGAAAAAAAATTGAGGTTAGAGAAAGTGGGTAAGTCATATCAGAGTAAGAATATAAGACTTTGCCATCCTTTAAAGTAAAACAAAATCAGGAATGACTAAATTGAAAAGTGTTACCACCAAACTTTGCCGGTCTGAAGACGAAGTACAGTGCCTTAATTTGGAAACGAACCGCTGCGGAAAATTGGAACATTCTTTCACAAGATCATGATATTGTGAACGCAGAAACATGATTTTAGAATACCACTTTGACGAATTCGGCCGAAAATTAACCCTGTCAGCACCGGGGCATTTTAGAATTTCCTCAGAACGGGGGATCAACATAGTGTTCCCATCCTCATTTCCTCAAAATTTGCAGGATTAAAACTTAGGAAAAGTCGCCAAATGTCATGCCGACAGCACCGTAACTGATGTGGGAGGGGGGGGGGGGACAACCCGGGGGCCGGTGGGGAGGGGGGTTGGTGGGGGGGGGGGGCAACCCAAACGATGACCCTGCCCCTGGGTGCCCTCCATTTAAATTCTTGATATCATATGCATTTGTCTGCAGTGACTCTCTGGAAATGTGTTATATTTATTGACGCTAACTCGTCAATAAATATAACACATTTTGAGAAATCTCGAAATTGCTTCACCTGTCCTCTTCAACAAATTCAAATGTTTACTTCTGACACATTTTCAATCTTTTGTTTATCTTGACGTCCCCGTAATAAACAGCTTTATTTTGGGGTTGTTTTGGAGCTTTTTAGGCATCAATTGATCCTCGTGAAATTACTCTCGGTCGCAAATTATTCGATATTATTCAATAATTTTGTTTGAATATTTTGTTCGATGTTAAGGTAAAGATCGAATTTAAAGTAGAAATCTAAAATTTGAAGGAAAAAAAATCATGCGAAAAGTGAACACAATTTGCTATAAAGGTTAATGCATTTAGGAATAAAAATTGGAAAACAAAATGAGGATCAATTTTTCAATTGCTACATTTGTCCCAATGCCTTGAATTGATAAGTTGGTCCCAACGTCAATTTGACATCTCTTTGAAAAGTACCCATACACTAAATTATCAGATTTGAACGTTATCATAAGTGGAAAGGTGCATCCTTTAAACCATACCTATATTATTTATGTTGGTTACACATTCTACGCCTGGCATTCCGTTGTATTTTGTTTGCCTTTTTTGGATACACACTGTATATGTCCTTCAGTGACCAACTTCCTAATAACGTTTGATGCTGAATTACTCTGAGTAATTGAAAGAAACATGTAAATGCATCCCAACATTATGTTACTGTCTGAACAGGAAAGGTTAGAATCAACAAGTCAAAAACCAGGAAAGACATACGGGGATTGGATTGTAACACTGATTTTATGGGTCAGGTTATTAAGTGTCAAGCTTTAAAAAGATGTTTCTTTAAAACCTAGCTAATGACTTTATTTCAAATTCATCTAGAACATTGGAAGTGTTTAAACTTGAACCAACATATAGAAGGAACTTGATTGATGTACGAAACTCTTCAAAACCTGCGGTCAGATTTGACTAGAAACGGTCAAACCTGAATGTGTACGTTTATATAACTTCACTTGATTTGTTGTTGCTATGAGTAGCACAATCTCAAATCACATAATCACTTAATGTGATTTGAGATTGTGCTACTCATAGCAACAACAAATCAAGTGAAGTTATATTATTAGACCATACAAATATAAGTAAATATTGGGACAACTTTGTTTTAAGAGTGTACAATGGAAGTAGTTGTCAAAATATTCTATATAGGCAGACAGGAACGCTGAGAAAAATAGAGATATGCTCTAAATTTTGTATTGCCTAAAAATTCTGGATCAGCACCAACTGTCCAGACTAAGAGTTGTAGTTCAACTATACCATGTCAGCATAATGCCTGTTGGACCATTAATTTAAGGCACGTAGTTATTGAGTTATTTTATTTTTTTATCTGACAAAAGCAAACAAAATTTGTAATTAGCCCGTTGGTTTGGCTGTTACCAATTGTGTATCTGTATCACAGTCATCAAGCAGCATACCTCTCAAACACACACAAAACAGGGAAGATTTGTTGATTGAAAAAAAATTCAGTCACTGTAATGATATTCAGAATCTAAAGCACATGTTGATTCAAGCAACATGACCAAAAATACCAACGTTTGAATATGTAGTATGCTTAGCAACGATAGTCATACTGTCAGGAAAAGTGACATTTTCTAAATACAGACCAATAATTACAGTTTAATAACAGACACTCACCTTGAGGTAACGTTCTTGATTTCTGTCACGAAAGGAATCCTCAACACTCAAGCAGATTACTGGAAAAAAAATAAAATACCAACAAACATGAGGTGTTAAAAATCCGCTGGGTAATAACCATGGGTGATAACCACTGCATTTCACAAGTACATCACACTCTGTATGGCAAAATATGATTTGAATTGATTATTTCAGGTAGATTTCGTTCTCCAACGAATGGACTCACGTGCGAGCAACTTTCATTTTTTTAGTGAGGGGGGGGGGGGACGGGGAAAAGATTCATTTCAATTTAAATGAAACGAATTACTCACTCAAACGGATTTTGTTTTTGTGAGAAATCTTTATACAAAACAAGTGTTTAAACAACGGAATTCACTTCATTCGGCATACATTTGTGCTTTAAACTTTAAACTTCTATAAAATGAACCTAGCTAGATAAAGCAATTTGAACTTGAATAACGCTGTGTGCATCATCATCCGGTCCGAATATATTCGCGCCTATTAACAGTGAAACTATATAATGTTTATTTATACTGACCACACGCATGTTTACGTTACATACCTAGTGTGGACATTGCTTTGTTTTCGTGTAGTTAAGAAAATCCTGTGAAATCTCTTTCGACCCATTTTTCTATGATTCCTTAGAGTATTTATCTTCATTTAGCGACGGATCAACCTAACTTCCAAAAATGCCTCTAAACCTGTTTTCCATAGAAAAGGAAACGTTGTGCGGACGTGGGCAAGTCCATACCTCGTCGCTGCTACCTGGTTTATGTGGACCTCTTTTGTCTAGAGGTCCACACTGTGAATGAAATACTTGTACACACTTATCGACAATGTAACTAGGAAATGATGGAACAACAATGGCGCGGATCGGAAAATTAGCGTGCTGATTTGGCTATACGCAAACGTTTATCAGCATCATAATCACGCAAGATTAATTTTAATTGAAAGTTAATTCCTAAAAATCTTGTTTTTCAGTCCTCAAGCAACTACAATTTGCCAGCTTACAAAGGGCGTTGTGTGCCTGGCAGAAGGGCGTATGCGCGAACGCCGGCCGTACCACCAAAATCTTTTCACCAGCAGGGCATATGCAGAAACATTTCTTTGTGTTTATGAATGTTGAAACTTTTCAGAGGAAACACAAGTTGCGCCAAAAGGTATGAGTCATTCGTACAACGAATTCAAAATTAAAACGATATAATATGCGTGGGAGAACATTGGATTCATAGTACTTTCATTGCAATTTTCTTAACAAGTGATTCCGCGTTAGAACGGACACATGCCTTACTGCATTCGACAAAATGAAAATTATCAAGCCTTATATCACGCTCGTTGTTCTAAATCCGACGCTGATTCAAACGCTATGCGAAAAAAAGGCAACAAGTAATTTTTTGGTGCAGGGAAAAAAATGTGTTTTTTTTTAAAGACTCACCGAGTAAATGCCGTTCTTGTCGTTCTATAGCAATCAGTTCTCTCTCGGGTTTTTCGTCTGAAGTTGAAGACGAGTTTCGGTCGTTGTGAGCAGTGAAGCAGCAAATGCTGTCTTAAATATTACCATCGATTTCCTGATCAGTGACTAACTGACTTGGCCCGGTTTGTGATTGGCCCCTGCGCGCTGTCAATCTCAAATCACTGACTTGTTTTATATCAATGAGACGGAAGATAATGTTATTGCCGCTGAGGCTATTATACTCCCAATCAAAACGTGTACCACCGACACTGAAATGGCCACATCTTATTTGTGGATAATGTATGGATGTCGGTGACACATCCAAAACACGTGATTTCCGATTAACACGTACAACCTGTCAATCACCGACCACTCACTTGTGATCACCGACTTGTTGGGTGACAACCTCTGATTGGTGGATTGAAACATGACGTACACCGGCCGTGACTAGATGTTTGTTTGTGCTTTGTGCTATCCAGGTACGTGATATCTTTACACTCGCGAGTCACGAGGCCCCTTCAAGGTAAAAAAAAAAACGTTATGAAGCAACTGCCAGTGACAGAAAAGCTGAACATTAGCTAGTGTAATGCTTTCGCCATTGGAGGGGGCCTCCATGACATAATTGATAGCGTGCCAAAATTGGTCTATACATCTGATAAATTCGGTTTGTTCATTTTGCAGTGAGGTCATGCTATGTCTGAATTGAAGAGAGGGAAAAAAAACGCCCCAAAAAATGAATCTAGCTTCAAAATGTAGGGAAGGTCTAGTGAAGGTTTCGATTAGTATGCCATGATCGTCTTCAGGAGATGAAGACGATCAGATCATGCTGATGGGAACATGGAGTTCTACAACCAACCGGTTCTTTCAGAAACAAACATCTCCCCAAAAGAGATTTCCACATGGTGTCACCGCAAACCTTCACTAGTTCATACCACCACCATGCAAAGTTTCTAATCTTCCTTAGCTTAATTGGTACTGTAACAAGAATTTGCATGGGGTAGATCCAGGAATTTTTGCGGGGGGAGGGGTCATCAGCAAATCAATGCTGTAATGTAGACAGGTTTTTTTTCGGACACTTGACTCCGTAAAATCAGTAGGTGTGGGATGGGGGAGGGAGGGTTGCTCGGACAATACTTTCAATGGGGGGGGGGGGGCGCTGTTCAAATCCAACGATTATTAACACTATATTACAGGATAGTGTACAAATAGCCCCGTAACCCAGCAGTCTCTGTC